GTGGGGGTTCGAGCTCCAGGGGCTCTGGCTCCTCTGGGCCAGGGTCGCTGCCGTGGTTCAAGTCCAAGCTGCTGTCTGGGGAGGGGGAAGACAAGTGGGTGGGCAAGGGGATGGCATCCAGCTGCACCCCAGAGTGCAAAGCATGGGAAGGGCAGGCACACTAGGGGCCTCTCAGGACGCTGCCCCCCTCCCAAACCCTTTTGTACAGGGAGGTGCAGCGAGGGAGGAGGACGTGCTGTGTGGGCGGATGCCCTTTAGGCAGGGGCTGGGAGCAGAGCCCCCTCTGCAACCCTCCACTGCTGCTCCAGACACTGAGCGGTGCTGCCTGTGCATCGGACATGTGTGCATGTGTTTGGGGGGGGGTGGAGGGTTCTGGCCTTGAGGCCTCACCTTGCAGGACAGACTCCCCCAGGACAGGCGGGGAGCGGGGGCTGGCGAAGAGCGAGGAGGACGAGGCCTGGCTGTCGTCTGCCAGCAGCGCAAAGGAGCCAGCAGGCGTCAGGGCTGAGATGTCGGGTGGCTCCTCCAGCGGGGACTTGTCGCTCACCAGCTGCGAGGAGTCCATCTCGTATGGGTCGCCCGTGCCTGGGTCTGTGGGATGGGAGCCAGAACCATAATGTCAAGCTCCTGCTATGGGGCGCACACCAAGCCCAGGAGCTGGCCAAGAGCGGAGGGAGGGAAGACCCAAGCTCCCAGTGCTGCCTTGAATGCAGTTGATGCTGCAGGGGTTAATGGCTGCACTTCCTCTGGGGAATCCCAAAATGGCTGAGATGCTAACGATATGCTAATGAGTCTGAGTAATCACCTGCCTAATCGCCACCTCCTCCTGGGCTGGAAGAGGGATCAGGGAATAGGCTGGGGAGAGGAACCGGCCCTTTAAATAAGGCAGCCCAGGTGCAACTCCACCCCTTTGGGGGAGGGCTTTGTGCCCCACCTCCCAGGGGGAGGGGCTTCCGCAGCACAGGGTTATAAGAGAGGCAGCCAGGGAACACTCCACTCACTCCTGCCCAGGTGAGGGGAGCTGGGGGTATCCCCAGGCCCTGCCCCAGCACCTGGGACCCCAGCCTGGCTCTCAGCCCTGTAGAGCCAGGCCAATGTCACAGCCACAGGACCCCCTGCTAGGAGCCCCCCTAGCCAGACCCCCTCCCACGGGTCATGCCCCCAGGGCCACCTACCTCTAGCCAGAGACTCGAAGGGCTCCAGGGGCTCCTCACTTAGCATGTGGGCACCCTCCAGAGGGGCCCCCATGGGGGAGGCGCCCCCCAGGCAGCCCCCGGCTGCATCAGGTGCCAGGACAGAGGCGTCCCGGCTGAGCGGCTCCATGGACGGGGCTGAGCCGTTGTAGCCGCACATCTTCAGGTCTGGAGACCAAACAGACGAGACCCCCCCAGGAGGATGGGGTGTTAGGCAGGGAAACCCGTGCGCCCCCCAGATCTATCCCAGCAGCCCCTAACTCCCAGGCCCGCTCCCCAAGTGCCAGGCCTGCTGTCCCAGGCTGCAGGGGGGGCTTTTAGCCCTGACACCCCAGGCCCCACAGGGCAACCTGCTCACCTGCCTGTGTGTCCTCCAGCTCCAGGCTCCCCACCAGGCCGGCCCCATTCTCTGAGACAGCGGGTGGTATGTCCTTGCCCCCCGCAGGTGCCCCCTCTGCACCAGTGTTGGGATCATCCTGCGGGCAGTGGGGCGGTGAGAAGGCCTGGCCACTGGTGCCCAGCATGGGGGAGGGCTGGGAGGCCGTGTAGAAGCTGCTTGGGCCGTTGGGCAGGAGCTCAAAGCTCTGGTCAGGGAAGGAGTCGTACAGCTCTTGAGAGTCAAAGTTCAGCCCCATGGAGCCAGGCGTCCCGTTGCCCCAGAACTCGGCTCCTCCCCGCAGGGCTGGGCTGTGCCCGGGTGATGGGGGCTGCCCACCACTCAGCAGCCCATTGAGCGGGTACTGCCCAAGGCCGGGGCTGTCCTTGAGGCCGCTGGCGCCAGATGCCGGGTACTGTGAGTAGTTCCAGAGATAGTCGCAGGGGTGCAGGGGGGGGGCGGCCGGGGAATGGGTGGCCGAGTTGAAGGTCCCTGAAGTACTAGCGTGTGATACAGTAGATAAGCCATTGACATTCATGTCCCCGTTCAGACCTGCCGGGGGGAGAGAGAGGAAGGGTCAGCCACGTCCA